GCAAACAGGGACAGAATGGTGTAAAATGGTTAGGCAGCCTCACAGAATCCTGGGCCACATGCTTACACTTGAAGTAATATATCCATAGCCACGGAACACAACTATGGAACAGGAAGTTTATCGTGTCAAGCTGTCAGGTATAAAAAGACCCAGAGCCATAGGACACAGCTCAACAAAGATCATTCTTCCAAAGCTGAACTCAGGCAAACAGACATTAAGATATGGTGCCTTTTGTTTTGTTTTTTTTAAACTGAGAGAATGATTATTAGAGTCAGCTGCCAAACAAAATGAAGATTCCCCCTCTTTTAATCCTTCCGGCTTCACACTGGATGTTTTTCTGTAAAGTGCCTTTAGTCAAATACAGATACTGGTTTCCCAGCTGGACTGCAAAGGTGAATTCTGTGACCTGCATGATGCAAATTTGGCAGAGACCTGATGTGAGACAATGAGACTCAGGGGATGTAGAGGGAGCCCTTGTCACACAGTAGCTTCAGCAGTTTCTCTTTCAGATGGGACTCCTGAACAAATTCGTGTCTGGCTGGCTTTGATACAATGTAGCCTGCTGGATTGAGGGCTGCAATCTACATCCACACTGTCTCCCAGTTAAAGGGGAGTTCAGTGTCTCTGGTACCTCAGCATCTCCAGGACAGGGCCAGGCAGTCCCAAAACCACAGCTTTTTGAGACTGGGACGAGAGTTTGCCTGTTTGCTGTGTCTGACCAACACTACTGAGGTGATGCAAGTGTGGCCCACATCCCTTTTCTGAGCTCATGGCACTGGAGTCAGCTTGCTAGTGGAAAAGGCCTCCACAGCTCTTTTTACTGCTTGAAACCAGCAATCAGTCCATCCCTTTCTGTTCCACTCCCTACTACAGGGTCAGAGCACAGCTAAGTAAGCAGTAAGCCTCATTTCTCCCCGTTTCCCAGCTTTGAGCAGAGCTTTGTGAATGTTGCATGACACAGGCAGAGATTCTTAGGCAGTAGGCCCTAGTCTCCTCCCAGGTCAAATAACAGCATGAGCCTTGACTGGCTGGTTGCATGACTGGCTGGGCCAGGGCTGTACCTGAGTTGGCGAGGGCCAGAGCTTTGAGCGTGACAAACTCCTCCTTTTCCACTTTGAGCTTCTTATAGCGGCGCACCAGTTGTAGGATGGCCAGGTAGAGCTCCAGCAGCCCTGTCAGACGAGAGTGCTCTTCATCCATTATGTAATCCTCAGCATAGACCAGCTTGTCCTCATACGGCAGGGAGCGGTACACAATGCCCAGGATGAGAATTTCCATCCAGGCACTCTGCAGAAGGCTCATCTGGTCTCCAAGGGAGAGGTTGGAGAACCCTAACAGGGCAAAAGACAAGCAGGGTCAAATGGGTGTGCAGCAAAGCCTCTAGGTCTTTAGTTTCCCTGAGATTCAAACCATCACTCTTTCTACTGGCCTGCTGCTTTAAAAAATAACCCAAAAAAACTCACTAAAGTGACCCTGTCTCTGTGGCAATCAGCACACACAGACCTTACCCTTCCCTTTGCTCCTATGCCCACCCACAGCCTCAAACAGGAGTTCTGATGCTCTGACTGCATTTATGGGAGCCCAAGGTTGGTGACAACCTCTTTTCAATGACCACTGCTTCTTTCATATCAGCAACTCTTTTGTACCACATTACCTCCCCTCTCTTCCTCTGTTGGTCTGTATTGCAGCCCATTTAGTCTGTCCTAGCTGGAAAATGAACAGAGAAGAGCTCCAGATGGCAGAAGAGAGGGCTTCTGATGGGACAGGAGGGAATGACACAGGCCTGAATTACAAGTATACTACAATCTCACATTTTGGCAAGGGTGAGAAAAAGTCCTGCCACAACAGAGCACCAAAATGTGTTCAAAAATAAATACATTTGTGATCAGAATCCTCCTATTCCTCATTGCACTCTGATCTCCATACCAGCAGCTCTGCCTACAACCTTACCCAGAGACAAAAATACCTTTGTTGTGCCATACAAGTACCTAAATCAGAGCCAAACCTAGTAGCAATGGAACCAGCCCCCACAATGAACCAAACCAAATATTCTTACCAAATACAGAAAGAGCAAAGATATACCCTGACAGCCCCAGAGTCCACTTGAGAAAGTGGAGAGGACAAAAAAAAATAGGTAAGGTCCACTTCAAGGCAGGGAAAAAGGGCATGGGAAGTAAAACTGTCTGCTATGCCCTCCATACCTGGTACCCTTGACAGCCAGACCATGAAAGATCCTGAGATGGGCACACTAACAGTCATTACAAACAGGAATGTCAAGCACCGTGTGTTGGTCCTCTCTAGGCAGCTTTTGCCCACCATGGACATGCAGAAATTACACTTTTTTGACAGCCTCTTGCTTCTAAAGGTTCCTAGAGCTGTGAAAGAATGGGACACCCTGGCATGCCTCAGCTGGGAGGGTGATGCTGTACTAGCCTCTCCAGGCAGTTTTCTCCCCAGGTGCTTATGAAGCCTTGGGGATCACCAAGAGACCTGTGAACTCATGAGCCTCTATGCAGAAGCCTCCCAGCTTGCCTGGCTCAGCTGGACTTCCTTATCCCACACCCCACCCTGCTCACAGTTCTTGGCCCCACATCGGGGCTGATGTAGACAGCCACCATGATGATAATTTGATTTCTCTTGTTATCAAGTTGGCAATTAACAAAAGAGCTGATGATTGCTATATTGACTGACTGTGGGATCTCTTTTTCTATCTGCACTATCTCAGCTGGGGAAGGGAAGGCAGAAGGGTGGGTTAGTGGTATTTATTTATCTCTACGCCATGTTTTGTGTTTGTGTTGCCAGGGGAAGCAAAGGGTGATAATGGCCTGGCAGCCCTTGGACATCCAATTTCCCTTATCAGGCCACTGAATAGAAAAGAGGCCCCAGGCCACATTAATTAACAGATACCAATCAGCTGTCACGTGCTGTGTGTGCAAGGTCTGAGGGGAGCAGTGGGTGGGAGGGAAGAATCAATACACCACTGGGGAGGAGTGCCAGAGGGAACAGCTAAAGAGGAGTCCAGGCTACTGGGGAGAAGAGCTGCAAATCCAGCTCCATGACTGTGAGACTGATTCCTGTACAGCACAGTCTGTGCTCCACATAGCCCTGATGAATCCCACCTCTTGCTTGGGCTGGGAGGTGGGTGCCTTGTCCTTTATCTCACCCTTCTGCCCCTTATGCCCTGCTCTCAGAACTGTGCTGCTCTGGAATGCAGCCCTCCTGACAGTCCAAGTGCAGGCTGCTGCAGCTCCAGTGCTTCAGATCCTGTCTCCACAGCTCTGCCTGCTGCACATGGAACTGATGAGGTTAGCCCTGAGATCAGAGGTGCACAGCCACTCTTTAGAACTTGAGAGCTCGCCTTTGGTCACCCCTCACCTAGCTCTGACCATGGAGGTAAGTCCAGCATTTAGGCTGCTGCCTTAAGTCCATTTTCTGGATCAGTCACATGCTCTTTCTGCAGCTTCATTCCCCATCTGGATTACAAAAGGCTTTAGGCCATTGCCTCACTGCAGTCTGCCAACAACACCTCTTAAAGATTGAGACACAGTCACATAGTAGAGTGAGAGGATCCAGGAGAGGCATGGCTCATACTTTTCTGCTACAGAATAAAGTAGAAAAATTGATTTAACTCTAGAAGTAGCCTGAACACAGCAGCTCTATCAATTGCCCTTTCCCAGAGGCTGTTGTGGCAGGTAAGATCAGGAGACAGAATATTTTACCCTTTGCCAAGAAGAACAGAAGAGCCAACTGCAATTGCCCCACCCACCTGGGAATGCCCCTGGCCAAAAGCACTCCCAAGTAGCCAACAATTCCAGCTCCAGCAGGCGAGTGGGAAGAGGGAGCACTATGCTGTCAAGCCTGGACTTGAAATGTCTGACAGAACTGGGACCCTTTTCCTCCAGTGTTCACACATGTGGAGTGCAAGGGCTAAAAGAACTGTCCTTGAATCACTGCAGTAAAGGGGAAGCATAACTCTCTCATATTATAAGAGTTGAAATCAGGAAAAGTAAATGTTAATCACAGCTAAAATCACCAGCTTGCTATTTATTATATAGTGGGGAACCTCTAGTTGTGAAATTTTGTCATTTTACAGCACCCAGGAATTACTAGAATACAACTGCTCTGCATTCTTGAGCTGTTGAAGGCCCTTAGTGATCCATTTCTTGCTGCTTTTCTCAAGTCTGACCCTGAAAGATGCCCAAATCCACCACTGCCACAAAAGAAAAGCCTCTGTCTCTAGCACAGAGCTGCATGAATGTTTCCTTCCTTCCCAGGTGCACCTTGAGAAAAGCTGCTTTATTTGCAATGTGACAATTTGATGTGACATTCAGGTTGTTGTTTTTTTTTTTAATTTTGGGGTTTTTTTATTATTATTTCAGTGGTTTGGCAGTGGGAGCTCCCAGAATTTTAAAAAAAAAAAAGTCACATAATTTGTGGCAAGTGGAGTTCATAATCTGTTAATTTATTATCATTTCTGTCATCCTGGAGGGCCATTAGCAGAGGTAATAAAAGGAGATGTAATTATAGGATCTGAGGCCACTCCAGACACAGCTGCTGTCACTCCACTTGCCATATTTCATTCTGTGCTAGTACTAATGTCTTCCTGGTGAGAACAGCACAACAGCTACCCTGGGAGAGCCTTCATCGTCACCCTTCAAGAGAAGTCTTGTCACCCTGCATCAAAGCAAGAAGAAAAGGTGGATGTTGTTCCAAGACAATTTCCATGGGGGGAGAGTGAGTAGTGGGGAGGGGGACTCATACAGAAGGGAACAACCCCACATTGGCTAAATGTGGCTTTTGAGCTCATGGCTAATAAGCTATTGAGCTAATAACATTTGCTAAACCCGATTAAACCATGTTTTATTGTTATCATAGGAAAGTGTGTTTAAGTTTTACTGATTTTATTTACTAATACTGTGGGGTAGAAGTTTGTGTTGGCACCTGGGATCCTTCAGGGTTGGTATGACTTTAATGTCACATCTTTCTTTACTAATTCCAGCGTGAACACAAGACAAGAATATGTGACTTTTTCTCCTTTCTCCATCCTTCTCTGACCATGAGTTTATACACACAGGAAGCAATGTCATGTTTTGCTCAAAATCTTTGGAAGGCAAAAATACAGGGCATAGATAATTTAGACACCTGGCAGGCTCCTGGCCCTGCCCTGCTCTGCCCCCTTGCTGCATAACTCAGTATGTTTCATACTTGTTGCAGAACTACAGAGGTTTTGTTCCATTATTATGAACTATCTTTTATTATCTTTTTTTCTCTCAGTACTGCTCTCTTATGTAACAATTCTTGAGCTCTTGCCTGTGCACAGTCTAGTTATAAAATACTGCTGCTGGTCTGAACTGTGCCAGGCTGATTACTAAGGCTGTTATTGTATTGTAGGGCCTTTGATAGGATAGGAAAATACACAGAGAAATCTGAGATTATGGCAGGTATGTCCCGATTTCAGAAAGGAGAGGAAGAGCCCCTTTCACAGTGCAGGAGCAATCTCTGCTATACTCCTGTTCTGGGATAGTATTGCCAGGATGGAAAGCTCTGTAGCACCTCAGCACATCCCACAGCCACAAGTAGGTAACTACAGCCGGGCACTCTGTGTGAACAGAAATAGCCAAGGTTAGAGGATGTACAACAGCACCTCACTGGACAGCCATAGCAGCTAATTGCATTGCATTAAAACCATTCCTGTTAACACTCCAAGTACTGGGTTAGTAGAGCAATCCAGGCTGAGTTCTCTAATCACCACTGTAACCCCACTTGTGATGAATCAGCCCCAGATGGATTCCAGCACTAGTGATGGGTATAATCCCTGCAGATATGGCAGATCTCATGTAAGAAGGGCACCACCAAATTAACCTCTTCTCAGAAATACTGTCTCGAAAAGTTTCTTCAGACTTCATAGTCTCATCTTGTAACAATCCATATTCCATATAGCCCAGAAAACCACTAACTCTTGGGTCCCAGGAGAAACACCCTACAGAAAAAGAGGAGCAGCTACCAAAAAGCCAAAACAGGAGCAACAGAAAGAAACAAAATACATGAGAAAACTAGTCTGATCAGTTATGTTAAGATGATTCATCAAAAAAATTAAGAACTTAAAGCCAAGAAGCAAAGCAAAACAACACAGACCCATGCAGTGGAAGACACAGCATGCAGTAGTCCTGTATCAGAACCACATATATTCTCCTGGCAAAAGGACGGGGAACAGAAGGCAGGAGATTGCTGAAGTGAGCTGTTCATAGTGAATATCTGAAGCAATCTTTGTAAAGCAGTCTTATAAACCCCAAGGATATCCTCTAAGTTCCCTGGCGAGCCTTCTCCACACACTAATCCAACCTATATATTTCTGGTGAAGTTGGAGAGAGACTAGAGAGAGGGGAGCATTTTCCCTTCCCAATCCAAATCTGGGAAGAGCCCAGAATGCAACACTGAGGGCCATATCTGCTCCTTCAGCCTCGATCTACCCCACCTGCAGGTGTGGGACACTTGTTATGTCACTCAATCCCACAGACACACACTGCATACAGTCAGTGAACCTTCCAAGGCCAGTCACACTGCCAATAAGTTGTCCTCATTATTTGTCAACAAAGAAGCCTTGAGATTCACTGGCAATAGCACATCGACTATTGCAATGGGATTTGTTCTGTGACAAATCCATTATGACAAGCTTTCCTGCGTATGGACAAGAATGCCCACTGCTGAGGGGGTGTGTATCTGCCTTGTTACTAGCAATAAAGTCCAGTCACTGCCATAATATTTATTCATCTATAAACACAACAGACCTAGGTCACATTGATGTAGTACAAAACCATGAAAGTCCACCATACCATCCCTAAGGCTATTTCCCAAGTGCTTTCACCGGGCCACTCAATGCTAGATATGACAGAGAACTTCACTGCATCATACCAAAGCCTTCTGCATAATCCCAGAGCATACAACATACAGTGAACAATTTATGCACCTCCATCATAGGCTGCACTGGAGTTTGTTACCAGTGAGAGCCCATCACTAGCAGTTTTTTGTAACAGTACTTTTCACCCATCACAATAGGAAAAAGCCCTGGTTGAGGCCAAAACTGATAAGCACAGAGATAAATAATAGCTCCCTTTGCTGTTCATGCTCACACCCTTGTAATTCCCCATTTACCTGGGATGTGCTTTGCCCAGCCAATGATCACCACCAGTTCCCTGTCTGCCAGGTCACAGAGGGTTGTCAGGGCTTTGATGTCACTCTCCGGCATGGTTGGATCAGGCATGGCATAAATCTTCTCTGGCTCAGCCACCAGCAAGTGGGACACGATCTTAGTCACTGCACATTTCAAAGGAGAAGTTGTTGTATCTCTTGTGACATAAGGTGAACCCTCCTGGGATAAGACATGACTATAGAGCCCTTAGAACCTCAGTAATGGTTTTAGTCGCAACAGAAAACCACACTGCAGCTACACAAGCTGTAGTGATCTGCCTGTGCCGAACCAGCCCTGCACAGGGATGACAAAAGCAGGAAGCTGCTGTAATGTTGTCAGTCATTGTCTCAGGTAGGTCCAGTGAGGGGAGAAGGAGGCAAAAAGTTGGTGGGATGTGGAAAAGTATAAAGAGCTATGGGTAGTATTGAAGAGAGAAATCATCATGGGACAGGTTTTGTCAACATGGCTTGGGTAAAGGAAAATATCAGAATATAACTAAATGGATTTATATAATCTCCTAGGAAAGGTCTGGTATTAAACCCTAGGTACAATGAATACAGTACCTGAGCTGTACCTAGGCCTGTGTAATTACCTCTACACTAGGATCATAAGAAAAAAATCCAGCGGTGTTGGCTGATACAGGAATAGGAAGTGACAATTGCTACACTTTACACTGTACTTTTGGGAGACCAGTGGAAAGAAATACAGTGGCAGCTCCAAGGACCACAATTCAAGACCAATACGTACATGGCTTTTTAGCTGGGGGAGGGATCTGTAAGCTCAGGTAAGTGCTGCTCTCAGAATCCAGTCTCCTTTTGTATTTCTGACGGCCTCCACGGACTCGATCCAGACGAACACCTGCAGGTAAAACCAAAAAAGTCCTCATGTTCCTTAGTGCCTTATAAAACCTTGACATGCAAATACTAAAATTTCCTAAGTAAGATGTTCCCCACACTCCAGAGAGCTTCCTTCTCCCAAACTCTTGAGATCTCAGCTGAACCAATCAATCTCAATACCAGCTAGACTGCCTCCAGCTCTATGCATGCTGCTCTGAGCTTTACTTTTATTCAAAACATTAATGAAGACAGAAATTAACCCATTCAGTCTCTTGAATCACCATAAATCTGATGGGCAGATGAAAAGCTTCAGACTTCAATGTCCTCTACGTGATCCTGCTTTTAAAAAGAAAGACTTGAAATGTCAATCAAACTTGCAGTTATAAAAATAAACTCTTAGATTGTTCTTTAAAATGAGAAGTTAAATGTTCTGTGACCTCTCACTGTTTATATTTGAAAAAAGTGACCTATAGCAAACAGATAATGAACTATGAATTCAACGAAGATGTTTCAGCCTTGATCAAGTAAGGCAACTGTAATAAAAGTAGAATCCAAATAAATAGAAACAACCTTGACTACAATAAAGCAATGATAAAGATGAAGTAGGGAGACACTGAAGAATCTGTTGCAGCACTTTCAAAATGCAGTGAAGCAAATTGGAAACAGCACTCTGAAAAAAATTCCCAGTGACTGGGAAGTACTGCATGCAAAAAAACATAGCATCATTAACAGACCAAGAACAGCAACGAAGTTGTCTTACTAGTACAAAATACAATATTAAAAAGAAACTGTGAAAAAACCCGTACAGATATTTATGCAGTTGTCTTTTATTTCTGAGCAGCCATATGGACTCTGATAATCAGTCTGTGAAATTGGAGTAACTTAGTCTTGCTGGGAGAAACAGTTTTGGAAAAAAAAAAAATCTTTCAAGGTAAATGTAGGAGCATTTGATTAGAATAAAGTTTTGAATTTACACAATACAAGTACTTCCTTAAAAACACACAGGAGTTCACCTAGACTGATCATGGGAAACAATTATGTGATACACTTACTAACCACATTAAGTCATTAATATTTTGCAATTATACCGATACATAAACACAAACAACTAAAAGCAAACACTCCACATCAGTTTTGAAGTGACACTTTTTCAACAACCTGTACACCTGAAAAAATCTGCAGTCAGCTGGCAAATATTCTGCCCTAGAAGGAGGCATGTCTGTCACACTGCATTTCAACACCGTGTTTGCTTACTCTGTCAGGGAAAAGAGAAAGCTTTTACTGTAATGCTCACACCAGCCACACCTGCACCACCTGAAACCACTACTTGCAACATCTATATCCAAATACTCTTCATGGCTAGAGCACCAAAGCAATTTGACTATCAACTGCCCATAAGCAGCAAGAATAGCAGGCCAACAACACTCAGTTGCAGCAGTCTCCCACTGAGCAGGAATGAGCAGGCGTGGAGACCTGCAGAGCAAGGGAACTGCTACTGCGGGTGGCTGCTATGGGAGCACAGCAGATGCTGAAGATTAAGGTATGAAGCTGATATAGGTGAACTCAGGTCACACTGAGTAATTTCTTTCCCCTGTTCCATTTTCTATTTCTTCTTACTCTGTATGGAGAATTCAGTGACATCCCTAAGTACCACCTTTCTTTTCCATCACATGGTAGGTATTCTGAAAATGATGCCTATTGCCTCTTTACTTCCATTTCCAGTGGCAGGTAGCCTGTGGGCAAGACTCCTTCCTGGGAGTCCAAACACACTTCAGAGAGCAATTTTTAAAAGGACAGCTGGGGAATCCCAAACCTGAGGTTATCTAGGGAGGTCCCTGAGGAACTGCAGTAATAAAATCCTGGATGAAGCAGAAAATTTTCATTTCTGTCCATGATTTCTTTCCCTCTATAAATGTGCCCTGGTTTCTTAAGAAATAAGACTCTATTCCATGCTTTGTGGAATGAATGACACCTGCCTATAATACAAGCCTATAATATAAGCCAGGAGAGAAGGAAGGGACACAAATTTCTGGAACTGCCAGTAAACCAAACAACCAGATATGAAAATTAAAATGGTCAGAAATACACTGTTGGAAGATAATAGGGCGATCCAGAACAGGCTGCCAAGACTTCAGGCCTGATTCACATCTTCCCAGGACTTTCCCAGATATGGATCATAGGTGGGTGCATTCCCTCACACCAGTGGTCAGGGGGAGGGAAAGAAGGAGATGCCATTCTCAGCTGGCAGAAACCAGCACACAGCCCCTCCAGGATGCTTTTGCTGTGCAGTTTGCTAAGCAGCAGGGAGGGGGAACTAGGAGGAATAGGGAGGAAATGGGAGAAGGAGCCTGTTTCCTCCTTCCAAGGTGAATGCCATCCTCCAGTGCTTGGCAGAGGGATGGCTGCACAGGTTGCAGCAGTATTAGGGACCCTCAATCAGATTATAAGGACACAAGGGACTTAAGTGCATTAAAAAAAGATAAGAAAGACGCAGAGAGATTTACCCTCCATCCCTCCTTCCCCCACCGAGCAGATAGAGGTCTGTTTGCCCAAGGACTTCAGCTTGTTAATTCTGAACAACTGTTTGTCCTCCTCTTGTTCCCCTTCCTGTGCGACACTCCTTGAGGCAAACATTTTCAATCAGCACTTGCAGAGCCACAACTCTACCCTGTCATCACTCCAGCCGTAGAGCTGGTTAACAGGCTGAGCCCACACAGCACATCCCAGCTTCAGCTGCTGAGTGCAGTGACCCACAGGTACTGCAGTAAACAAAAGCATTTCAACCCTCTGAGTCCCTGACTGTGACACTCCAGACATAAGCATCATGGTAAAATCCTTTTTCTAAAGATCTGACAGTCTAATGGGTCATACCTAGATAGAAGGAAAGGGCATGGCCAAAAATCAGTACTGTGGTATCTAGGTACTCGGGTTAATGCCTGCTGCTCTGCTTGATTTCCTCTGTGGTTGATTTTAAGACAGGCAGGCTGGTTACAGTGCAGCTCTGAGAGGGACACTAAAGGAAAGACATTAAAATGGAGTGGGGAGGTGTGGTGGGTGAGGTCAGAGAAGCAGCATGAAGGAAAACACTGAGCAGAGAAGAAACGGAGTGGGATGTAAACTGGGATATGAATGGAAGTGAGACAGAAGTAGGAGTAGGGAGTAAGGAGTAAGGAGGAGGGAGATGAAAGAGAGAGGGCTAGAGCAAAGCTGAGGGCCATATATGCTGTATTCACAAGGGCAGGTTTCACACCACACATGCAGCTACCAGAGCATTAACTGCAAGGTGCAGCAGCCACACGAGATTCAGCTGTCCATACTGAACACACACATAGGATTTGGTACTGCAGCCTCACAAGACAGCAGCAGAATAAAGCTCCTGCTCACATGAACCACAACTGGCCGGTTCAAAGGAGAGAAGACACTCATCCTACAAAAATGTCACTACCACAGGCGGTCACTTCCTGGACCATTCTTAGTGTCAGCAAGGAGCTGAGATCAACAGTATGGGGCAAAGTTATCACTCCTTGATAACTTATCTTGCTGGCAGTTCCTTTAAATTAAGGCTATCTATTCTGGAAACATGCCCTCTCCTCCCATTCCCCTGTATGGCAAGAAAGTGCTGCTGTTCATTCAATTTTGTTACCTTTTGAGAGACCCTGCATGAAAGTCCTCCTCATCTGACCTAGCTATGGAGCTGAGCCTGGTGTATGCCACAGGGATTGAGTTCCAGCTCTCTGGCAGCTTGTTCTCAGCTCCCCTGCCTGCCCAAGGCCCCTCTGACCTTGCAGGGAGGAGGGCAGGGCCAGGACTTGTGCAGAACTTCTCAGCTCAGCATCCTGCCTGGGGCAGGAATGTCAATTTTCTAAGTGTCCTGTGGGTGCCACTCGTGTTCCAAGCACTCTTGCAGAGAGGTCTGTGCCAGCACCAAGCCTCTGCAGTGGGAGAGCTGATCTGCTGATCGTTCAAGCTCCCTGCATTTCTCTGACATGCCCCTTGGAGAGACGTCTGCCCGACAACTTTGGGATCAGATGTCCCCTTACTGACTTGATAACATCAGGCCTTGGGGTTTTTTTCTTAATGGAAGTAAAATAATTCCATCTTTTTTTAAAAGCTGGACCCAGGCCGAGACTGTTGGAAGTAAAAATAGCCGAGTATGCAGAGGCGACAGCACACAGAGTCAGGTTTAGTTTCTCTTTTATTTTCTGGGGACTAAAAATACTCTTAAAAGCTCTGTGAAGCTGAGCCCTGGCCAGTGGGAAATGCAGTCAAGGCCCAGTATCAGCTGTCGTGTCAAATTACCAGCTTCACCTCACTTTCCATCGAGTCCTATCACATGCCCATGGATTGATAGGAACAGAAAGATCTATCTTGCCAAAAGAGCTAACGGAGGAGCCAAACACAGGGTCTGCATGGTACAATATGTGTCTAGACCAAGAAGGACTCAACCAAAGGGAGCACAGGGCAAGTGCTGGCCAGGAAACAAAAGGGCTGCTTTTGCTGAGCTCCCCTGATACACTAGCCAGGTCCTGTGTCCACTGCCCACCTAATCCTTGAGCTGCAGTTTCCACACTGCTTGTTCTCCCGGGGTCTGAGGTGGGGTGCTGCTCTGTAGCTAGCAGAGCACCTGTCTCCAGGAGCTGCAGTCTAAAGCATGTGGATTGGTACTGGCCAAGGAAGCTGGAAGGGATAGGCTAAGAGCAGAGAAGAAAGGAGGGGAGAAGGGTTGTATTCGAAGTGTCTCCTACAAAATTTCTCTCTTCCTTTCTGCTCTGAACTTCAGGAGAGATGACAGCATGTGGTAATGGGATGAGTGAGCCAGGAGGAAGTCTATCAAGGAAACAGCAGAGATGATCATTAAAAGTCAGGCCTGCCAGGATGGAGAAAGAAATAGACTATAGGAAAAAGCATCTCAGCCAAACAGGAATGGAGAGGCTACAAACTGACTAGGCTCTCTTTTGTTACTCAGATTCCAGCTTGGGAATGAGAAAAGATCCCTTTATACTATCAGGCTCTAATGCTGTG